CTTTTCTTTTACATTTCGAGGCAAGTCCTTCCTATTTTTACAAATTGTACCACATGCTAATGTGTTTTCTAGTTTTAATCTTTCTAGTAATTTTACGCTCGTAAAGAAATTATCAAAATAAATAATTCTTCCTTCATTCCAGTACATCTTGGTTAATGATAGGACTACTCTTTCTCCTAAACCATAGTTCTCGAATTCGGTCTGCAATTTTTCGTTTTTGCCTTGATATAAGTCAAACTGTAAAATAAAACCATTTTGGTCTGCAATAGACCATAATTTGTAGCCCCTTTTGATGGGCTTTTTCGGATTATATTGTTTCAAGCTACTTCGCCCTTTAAAAACGATTATAGTTTCATCCACACTTAGTTTTCTTGTACCCTGATAACATTTAGTAAATTGTTTGTTTAGAGTATCTATCATTGGTCGAATTTTAAATGCCTTATCTTTATTGTCTTTGGAAATTTGATGGTTATCGTGGACATGCTAATATCATCTGGAAACGATTCCTTGACATGGTTTTCGAAACAAGAGGCACATGTAAGTCTTCTGAAGTATTCCAGTACATTTTCCACGAGGGCAGTTGATGGTACCCCATTAAAAAGTTCAGCCCTATAAAGGCCAGTAATTCACCCTCCTTCATATTCAGTATATGGTTGTTCTGCACTGCATACAAATTACTTTGATAGGTAATCTTCTCCACAATATCTCCAAGTAGTCGAAGAAAAACATGTGTAGGCGTTGTGCAACCTGCGAACTCTGGACTCACTGCTCCTTCTTCTAAGTGGTAACTTTGAATAATTTCGATGACATCTTTCTTATGCCATTTCCGGTTAGCTTCAAGAAGTTCAACTTTTTCATTTATTTCGTCCTCAACCATAGCTTCTCCTGTTCCTGATTTTTCAATCTCACCTACATCATTTTCAACTACTTCACTTTCTTCAGCTGCAGACGGACTAACATCTCTTATTTCATTATCGTCAAAATCGCTGTCTTCAAATTCACTAATGTCGACATCATCTGGTAGGTCCAGAATTTGTATTGCCAATTCCTCTAGTTCCTTTTCTGATAAAGGCTTTTTCATAAAATCCTTCCACTTACGTGACATTCTAAAAGAAAGTAATATAAAATAAAAACTTGTTTTGAATCCTGACGGGACTTGAGAGTCCCAGGGCATTGTGTAGTAATATGAGACGTAATTATCATCATAACAAAATAAATATTTTAATTGGTGCTTACCCTAAAGTATATTGCGTCTGATTCACAAATAAAATTCCGCAGAAACAGCATAAACAATAATTGTAAACACGAATAACTATGCTTGCATCAACAAACGTCCACCGCCAGCAGTTACGGTTACACTAAATTCGATTACCCACGATTGTCAACGAATACACCCGGTGAAAGATTCTCTTATGCTAGATAACCGTTGTACGCGTCGTCCCGTCAGGAATTACGCCAACTTCTGCCGTAATAAGAAAATCATAACGATTTAAAATTTTGGGACTTCAGAGTCCCGTCCGGCAAAAAAGGGTTAAACAACACATTTGAATTTTCATACTAACAAAATATTTTATAAATTAATAAAAACGATTAACTAAACAAAATAACAACAAATTAAAAAAAAACATTAAATATGTAATATTAAAAAATTTAATGTGTAATAATAAATTATATGTGAAAGTTTAGCACTGAGTAATATCCCCTTTAATTTTAATTACCTCCAAAATTCTTCAAAGCATAATTATTGTGTTGTGGCAAAATTCTGGTGTAAATAATAAAAATTAACAATTGTTTTGATGTCATTTTTTTATAGCTATTGCTGGTTTCAAGATAATTATGAAAAAATTAACGTATGTAAGCGAATACATTTGTTGAATGTTACGTCTGGTCGCAATTATTGTACGGGGTAGAAACATGGACACTAAAAGCGCAAATAGTTAAAAAGATTGAAGCCTTTGAACTTTGGATATACCGGAGAATGTTGAGAATCCTATGGACTGCCAGGGTCACCAATGGGGAAGTGCTGAGAAGAATGGGTCGAGTCAAAAAATTGTTGAGAACGATAAAAGTACGCAAGACTGCATACCTTGGACACATACTAAGAAATAATAAATATAGTCTTCTGCAGGTCATCATGCAGGGTAGAGTCGATGGCAAAAAGGGAATAGGTAGAAAAAGGAAGTCATGGCTGCGAAATATTCGAGACTGGACAAACATGACTGTAGACGAATTATTCCACGTTGCAAAAGACAGAGAAGCTTTTAAAAATGTGGTCGCCAACCTCCGTTAATGGGGACGGCATAGGAAGAAGAAGAAGTGAATACAAAGCTACGATTTAGCAAAAATATGTTTTCTTATTGTCTAAGATAACTTAAAAATAAACATAAGGGTAAAATTTTTAATAAATATTAATAAAAATGCCATATTAATTAATATCGACACTTATAAAAGGATGTAGATTATATAGATTATGATTTATTTATGGTAATCGCCATAAACTCAAAATTCCATATCCAGGTCGATCAACTGACATAGGAAGGGTCTGGTATGATGTTAGAAGAGTCTGAACTAGGGATATTTAAAAAAAACCTAGTTATGTTATAAAAATTTGATCCAAAATTTTGTACAAAATTAAAATTTTTGAATTTTTCCTGAAATTGTGGGTTATTCTTCCATTTCTGAATCTTCTGAAAATATGGTTTGGCTTTGCATCTGTCGGATTTTGATTTCTGGCAAACTGAAATCTTCTAGACTGATATCGTTCGAACTAGATGAAGACGAAGCAAAACGTCTTTTTGAAGTTTTCTTTCCAGGGGCATAGTTCTTGTCACCAATTGAGTCATCTGAGTCATAGTACATATCTGATCCCGAATTCTCAAAACCTAATAAACTTTTATTTTTTACTCTCTGCCTTGAAGGACGGGATGGGCCATGTGTCAAAGAAGTAGATGGATCAGCTATTGAAACATTAGATGAACGGGGTGTAGTAGAACCGCTATTTGTAGAGACTAACACATTGTCTTTGGCGTTGCTATCCCCCCCCCCCCACCCCTGCAATGTCTCGACAGTGATGTTGTCTCTATTTGAAGTTATTTTTCTGCAACAAAAATAAAATAATATCACAACAAGTTCTCATAACACAAAACATAACCAAAAATAGGACAAATAGTCTAAGAAACTCACTGGATTTCCTTAACGCATATCTTGTTTCAATAAAATGCTACAGAAATTGAGTTTTACATTATTAAGCAATGAAAATTATAGTTACAATTAGTAGTAGGGTAAACTGTGCAAATACCGGTCAGTGGGTAATGGCGGTCATCCCGATTGTGCGAAATCTATTCAATCTGGCAACCTCCTATAACTGCCAACGTGTCGCTACACTACTCTGTATTCAGATTGCTGACGAGCGTTGAGTTGGTGCAAACCATTGTCATAGAAATATTATTAACCTGTTTTCAGTGTTTTCGATCTTATGTTTATGCTGACTAATATAAGGTCTTAATTCATTTTTATTCACTTGTAGATCTTAAAATTGGTTACAATTGATTATAATGACGTTAGCTGCCTATTCCTTTTTTAAAGATCAATATTTTAATACATGTTTAGGAGTAAAAAATTCAAAGAAAAAAAATGCCAACAGGAGGCAATGCCGGTCAGTTGACCGGTATTGCCCCCATGCTATAATTTATACCCTATACTATTAATCCTTAGGGATTAATCCATTTATTTTTCGACATTGCAAGAAAGAATAAAAAATAAAAATCTTCAAGGTGTTTCATTAGGTAGAAAATCAGTATTTTCTGCCGAACAAGAAGCTAAAATAGCCACACAAAAAAAATATTTAGCTTAATTTTTTATGGCGTAACAGCAATAGAACTGAGAAAATTAGCATTTGGGTTTACAAGATAATTTTTCTTGTAATAAAACACCTTTTTCTTGTAATTGGCATTACAAGAAAAAGGTGTTTGATTCTAGTTCTTTGGAATCGGATATTGATATATCATGTGATAACAGTGACGATGCATACGAAGATAGATGCCTGGTTTACAGCGAGTTTGGCAAAAACAATGAATTGTGGTATATATTTACCGTTTGCTCACGATGGGCTTATTCAGAGTGCAGTGGATGGGATTCTGCAGAGAGTTATATCTGCGATGACTGTCAACTATTTTTACATTAAAACACATATTTTTGTTATTTTTTGTTTGTTTTGTAATAAAAAATATTTTTTCACCTTTCTTACTGATTTACTTGAATTATGACCCATTAAGCCACATTCGTTAATCGTTTTATAACAAAAAAATGTTAAATAGTTATTGATTTTTATTTTAATAACACAAACAAATTGACTGGCATTACCCACACTCATGACCGGTATTGTCCATGTATGGTGACAATACCGGTCAAAGATACTTTTTTATGTTTTGTCTCTGTCAAAGACAAAAATTTTATATTTTTGAAATTAAATGTATCTTGCAATAAGTTAAAACCCCAAATTACGGATTGACAGCTTAAATTTGATTCACAGAGTTTTACTTTTTTTTATATTAAATTTTCTTCTTAGGTGACCGCGATTTGCACACTTTACCCTAATATTAATAATTTGAGCATAACATAATAAAACGTACAACAGCTACACGTGCTTTCGAAATTAGACAGCAGCTCGCAACGGTTAGTGGCACGCATAGAAGCCGGTTGTATCTTATTTTGGAGGGGGCAGGGCAAGTGGCTTCCATAGAAGGCAGTAAGCATTGCGCGCGACGTAAACAGCTATTACAGATCATAATCACTTGAATTTACGTGGCTTAATGGACTGTACTGTAAATGGCTTCTATTGTTGCCAGTAACTGTTAAAGGGTTAATTTAAACTTTTGAGAGTATCATTTTCTTAAAAATTTTAATTTAATAGTCGCAGGTTAAATTCTTTATAGTAGGTATCTATATATAAATTTTTATCAAAACACAAACAAACAAAAATAATAACGTTTATCTTTTAGCATGTTTAAGCAATTAGAGACTGGCAATATAGACAGATTAAGAAAGCATTGGGACGCCAGACAGCCAACTTGCATCGAAGGAGCTAAAAAGCAAGAATTTAACGTGAGCTTTAAAGAATTTTCTTGTGGACCAGTGGCACTTGGTTTGGGGGTATTGTTAGGGGTAATCTGTCTATCGATTGAGTACTTAATTCATAATAAACACAAAATATTACAGTCACTGAAGAGAGCATGGCACTTTAAATATAAAAAAACTACTTACCCATTTGTAAATTGATAAAAAAAATATTTTTATTAGTAAAGAAATTATTTTCACTACAAAAAATTTGTAATAGCCAAATATTGTAGCACACTTAATAAACTTTAAAGCATTGAAATGGTATTTTCTTTATTAGTTATTTAATATCAATAAAAATTTAACGGTACTACTAGAAAAAAAAATTTTAACAAACATATTTTAAAGTAATTTTGAAATTCATTTGCTAAATTGCTACATTAATAATTTGTATTTAGCAGGTCATGAAGGTCGTCACATTTTACTTTCTTCTAACTTGCTTGGATAAAGTGTTTTTAATCTTTACTGTCGGCCTCTTTTGGTTAACTCTCTTTTTTTCTTAGTCCTAGCGACAAACGATACCTAAGTGATACCTAGCCTCTATATAATCTCCATAATCCTAATGCCTATCAGATTTTCAATGGCGGACGAGTCAATATTTTCTTCTCATCCCACAACATATCGTACTACATCTCCCTTACTTAGCATCCTCTTCATAATACACAAACTCATAACTTAGGGATACTTCCAGTAATACAAGTTAAACAGAGAATTAGTACTCATAAGAACAATATGAAAATGGATAATACGGAAAATACCGTCATGTCAAATATTGTAGAATAATAGGACATTTTAAGAAAATTATCAACGTTCGTAAAATGAACAATTCCTATTCTTCTTCTTCTTGTAGTGCCTATCCGTTTCGGATGTTGACGACCATCATGGCAATCTGTATTTTGTAAACTGCTGTTCTGAAAAGATTTGTGGTTATTGTGTTGAACCGTGCACGTAGATTTTTCAACCAGGAAATCCTTTGCCTTTCTGATCCTTGTTTTCCTTTTACTTTTCCTTGAAGAATTTATCTTATTCAATAAATCCTATTCAATAGTTGTAAATTATCAGAGGCCAAAAAGGGCAAAACAAATGCTAAGGCAGATTACAAGTCTAGTTAAGAATTGTGCAAAAAGTGTTTGATTTACTAAAAGAAAATCATACACTACTCGAGAAAAATTGGCTAAAAATATGTATCAATAAGGAATCAGTTGAAAAGCAGACAAAGTAGTACGAACTTGCACAAGAAATAGAGTGGAATTGTAAAAAATAAGGGAAAAGGGAAGGATAGCTCGTTAATAATACGATCGACCGCCACAAAAAAAAAATAGGAACATCCACCGACTATTGTACAGATGGAGAAAAACTTTAATGATCTTCATGCTATGGTAAAAGTTTTTCAAACACTCGAAAAAAATCATTAAGGATAAGAAACTAAAATTAATATGTAAAACGAAGATTTTAAATTGTTCCAGACAGCATTAGCACGAGCCTAACGATATGCTATTGATAGGTGTTGAGAGTATATTTTTTTGTAAATCGTTATAAGTGTGATTGGTCTCTTGTTGGGAGAATACGTTTGTAAAGTTTGTACTAAATTTTGTCTTTTTTAGCGCGTGACACTCATAGGCGTCGTCATCACTAGATCATTAATGTTTCATCCATATGCTAAGAGACTCACATGTGCGTCATTGATTTTTAAATTTCAGAGTCCTCATTGTCAAAAAAATATTTACTGGAATTTTGAATGGAAAACATATTACAATACTAATATTAATAATTACAAATTATTATCATTATGAAACTGTTTAAAACGATTTCCAACACAAAGGTCAGGTTTTTCAGAACCGAAGCAGCACTCAAATATCGTTTTTTTTTTCTTAAATTATTAAATAATTGATGGATTCGACCGTTACTTGATGAAAATTCATTTTATGTAACAATAAAACACTGAAAACTTTGTTTTCAAACTTCCATAAAATTTATTTTAAAACATCACTTCAACTGTTTCGGCTGATTGCCTTTCTCAAGTGATCTATTTTTGGCTCGGGTTTACAAATTTATAGTATCAAATGAAATAGGTTGAGGAGGGGAGAACTGTTTGTCTCAAGTTGGTCATTCAGAATTATATCTGTGTTTTTTAATTTGTTGATTTCCATAGATTCTAACTTAAGGCCGTAAGCCATAGCTTAAGGCCTTTATTTTGAATGTGAAGAATTTTAAATTTGTCATTAAAAGAATGATTATGATCTAGAAGGTCAAGTGCGTATGTCGAATCTGTGTTTCTATTCTTGAAAGCCCTTTTATGTTCTGTTATTCGTTTATCAAAGTTTCTACCAGTTTGACCGATGTAAGTTTTTGGGCAGTCGCCACATTGAAGTTTGTACACACCACTATTTAAGTGTTTTTTATTTTGGCTCTTGTTATTTTTAACATATTTGGCTAGGTTGTTATTTGTTCGGAAAGCTGGTGTTATTCCTTTCTTTTTTTTTATGTGTTTGGCAATTTTTGTTGTTATTTTGCCTGTACATGTAATCGAGCAGAAGGTACTGGGTTTTTTCGCTGGTGGTGGAAATACTAATTTCAGGGTTTTCTTATGTAATTTTTGATTTAACTTTTTATTAATTGTTTGTTCGTTGTATCCGTTGTTTACTGCTAGACAGAATTAAATATAATTAAGCAAATAGCAGTAAATAACGGATACAACGAACAAACAATTAATAAAATGTTAAATCGAAAATTACACAAGAAAACCCTGAAATTAGTATTTCCACCACCAGCGAAAAAACCCAGTACCTTCTGCTCGATTACATATACAGGCAAAATAACAACAAAAATTGTCAAACACATAAAAAAAGAAAGGAATAACACCAGCTTTCCGAACAAATAACAACCTAGGCAAATATATTAAAAATAACAAGAGCCAAAATAAAAAACACTTAAATAGTAAAAACTTACATCGGTCAAACTGGTAGAAACTTTGATAAACGAATAACAGAACATAAAAGGGCTTTCAAGAATAGAAAAACAGATTCGACATACACACTTCACCTTCTAGATCATAATCATTCTTTTAATGACAAATTTAAAATTCTTCACATTCAAAATAAAGGCCTTAACCTATCTTTGTTAGAATCTATGGAAATCAACAAATTAAAAAAACACAAATATAATTCTGAATGACCAACTTGAGACAAACAGTTCTCCCCTCCTCAACCTATTTCATTAGAGACTATAAATTTGTAAACCCAAGCCAAAAATAGATCACTTGAGAAAGGCAATCAGCCGAAACAGTTGTAGTGATAAGTTTTAAAATAAATTTTGTGGAAGTTTGAAAACAAAGTTTTCAGTGTCTTAAATTATTCTTTGAACATACTTTACATATTTTTCTCTTCATCCGACCTTTACTATCGACATTTAAAATTTTTGAAATGTGTTTGTCTGTTGTTTGTTGTTGTTTGTATGCAGTAGTAACCAATACTACTTCAGATTTTTTTAAAAGATGCCTGATAATTTCAAACGATATCTATATAAATTCATTTTTCTACCAGTGTATGGAATATAACTTTTGTACAAATATTAGGAATTTAATAACAAAACTTGAAATATGTGAATGTCTATTTTTGATACCCTCTGGAGGTTGCTAAATCAATACTTCCATAAAAATTATATATAAAAAGAGAATGCCAACGTTAAGTTTATCTTGCATTAGTTCTAAAACTACTTTTTCAGAGTGGCCTTTTCCACCTGTAGTCATAACATCCTGTACATTAGGGTGGAGCGAAAAAATCGATATATTTGTTTTGACATGTAATACCTGCGAAAAGTTGACACTACCTATAGTATACTTGGTGCTAAAATTTCAGTAGAAAATAAAAATATCTTCAGGGCTCTACCGCGCATCAAAAAAAGAAAAAAATCAAGAAAAATTTATTTTATTTATTTTTTACTTTTAATAAATAAAAGAAGCTGGTTTTATCGATATTAATTATTTTCTATTATTTTAGTTAAAAAATAATGTTATTAGAGCTCTATCTGTTACCCAAGTAAATATTTTGAGCAATATTTTTGAAAATAAAACAGATCAAAAATCTCATCAAATAATGTTCATTGTTCGTCTGATAGTTAATTTTTATTAAATAAAGCTACGCCACTGGTAAAGGCTTCCCGTGAAATAATCTTTTCCTGTAAAACGTTTTTTGACCTGTTTCGTGCTAGATCGGTTCGACAAAGTAAGTAAGACGAAGTAGTTCAGTCTTCAGTCCTCCCTCTTCTGAAGAATAGAAGATGATCATCATAACATCTTATAGAAGATGTTATGAAGCGATATCTACTTATAAGAAATGAACTAAACGGTATGGATTCCGGCAAGGATCCTAGTGTTCTAGTTATTTCTCAATTAGTTATCAGTGAAATCGAAGCCATCTGGGAAAAAGCCTCAGTTCTCACTGTATCAAGCAATCGTATTATTCGATTAATTCGTGATATTCTGTGTAAGTACCAAACTTTCATTAGATATCCAAAACAAAAACATAATGAGACTTATAATTTAAGAGTGAAAAAGTTCAGGCAGAAAGGATAAAACTCTGTGCCAAGAAAAGGTTGGAGATAAACTTCATCGCAAGATAAAACCGCAAGATAAAACCAAGAACACATTTGGTTATTTGAAGAACCAGGTTCTAAATATTTAAATCACATTACTCCAACGTCAGGTACAGGAAGACATATTACCACATATTCCCTAAATTTTTTTGAAGAATCCGGTATTGGCACAGGTAATCTTTTAGTAGTAGGCTTCGACGGTACAGCAGTCAACACTGGGAGGAAGAATGGGGTTTTACGGTTTTTAGTGACAGAACGGAAACGTCCTCTGCAGTGGTCAATTTGTCTGTTACACATGAATGAATTGCCCCTCCAGTATGTCTTTCAATCTCTCGATGGAGAAACTTCGGGACCTCGTGAATACTCTGACAGTATAGGAAAACTATTGGAGTGAGTCTTGCGAAAATTTGCCAGTAATCCATTTTGTTCCTATTCATACCACTCTACTACAATTAGATGCTGCCGTTATAAGGGACCTTAGCAGTGATCAAAAGTACTTATACGAAATTTGTCATTAAGTTTCTAGTGGAAAGTGCTCGATAGATTTAGCAACTCGTAATCCGGGTAAATTATAACATGCACGATGGGTTACAAAGGCAAATCATATATTGCGTGTTTACGTCGGAAGTGAAAATCTGTCTTT